TTTAGGGTTTAGGGTTTAGTTACCAGAAAGCCTCCTGAAAGATCGCTTCTCCAGGATCCTGCAGTTGTTCGTGCTAGGCTTTTGCAAGCATGTTTCTGCATTGGGGCAAAGAGGTCAGAAGGAGCCTTGATACCTTGGCATATCTCCAAGCGTATGTACTGGATGAGTTCTGAAACCCTAACTTTCTGTAGCATACCTTGCGCGACAAGCGGGTGGGACTGGCTAAGACTAAGACCCTTGCACTTCCGTGTGATGAGAGAGCCCAGTACCCATTAATTAAGNNGGAATATACCTTAAATCATAATGTTATGGCCCGGGTATTGGGCTCTCTGGGTGATGCCTGATTCGAAGTGTGCGGACAGCAGCTCAAGCATGCTGTGACCCTGAGCCCGACACCCTCAGTCCTGCGCATGGATCGGGTGAAAGATCCGTTGCACTAGAAACCGCCCGAAGCCCTAAATACTAAGCCCGAAACCCTGGACTTTAAAGCATCTTCGGAATCACCTAGCCCTTTATAAACCCTAACCCCTGAGTCAGGTTTCTAGACCGTTGCGCGAAGTACTCGGAGACCCTAAACACCAGATGCCGAGCCTTGCACTTCACCCAAACACATGCTGTCCCTAAACCCTAAACCCTAAACCCAAAAACACCCCTAGACCCTAAACCCAAGACCCCAGCTAGACCCCAGGATCGTCATGGCCTCCGCCGTCTTCATCGCGGGCGTGGGCATCGGTACGAAGGATCCCGAGTTCCCGGACAGCCCGAGCTGGATGCCCGCCTTTCAGTTGCTGTCATTGGTAATATGGGTAGTTCTCCAAATTAGGGTCCCTTTGTAGTACGGCACCCTTATATCAAGGACCCCCAAAGGGACCCTAATTTAGAGAACTACACATAGAGGGGCCTGAATAAGTACCTAGTAACTATTTTGAGGGTTCCTTGTTATGACGACAGTATAATGTACCCCAAAACCTCTATTCTAAGTATTAAGGCACCTACTTGTTTCCTTTGCCCTTGCCTTCATGGATTTAGGGTTTTGGGGTTGAGGGGTTTCGAGTTGAAGGCTTGAGGGTTTTGAGGTTTGGATCATGGCTATGGGTTCGTGTTAAGGGTTTGAGGGTGCAGGATTTGGCGGTTGAGGGTTCATGTGCTTGAGGGTTTGGTTTGGGGTTTGGGGTTAAAGGGTTGCACTACCTCAAGCCTTGCTAGTGTCCTCAACAGAGCATCTAGCACCGACAGCCCCAGGTCCTAGATCCCTAACCCCAAATAAGAACCCCGAGCCCTAAGCCTTAAACCGCATAAGTTTAGGGTTTAGGGTTTAGGGTTTAGGGTTTAGGGTTTTAGGGTTTAGGGTTTAGGGTTTAGGGTTTAGGGTTTTAGGTTTTAGGGTTTAGGGTTTAGCCTCCTCCCCCATCCTCCGAAAGACGTAGCAGCCCCAGGATGTACATGATCCTGGTGGCGGTGACATTGGCAGTGGCTGGAATTCCCGAGGGCATTCCGCAGCTTTTCATCCATTCGGTGAGAATTGACAGTAGAGTCGTGATTCAAGAGCCCTCAACCTTAAACCCTAAGCCCTAAACCCTATGGTGTTTGGGAGCCTAGACCCAAAGCCCCTAACCAGACAGACCATCAGGGGTTGAGGGTTGAAGATGTCGGGCTTGGATCATACAGCTTCGGGGTGTGCAGGTTGAGGTGTAGGAGCCAGGCACTGAAACGAAACCCTAAATCCTGAGCCAACCCTAAACCCTAAACC